GCTACCGGAGAAATCAGTTACCTCAAAAGGTATAAGGCCTCCGGCACGGATGAGCTTTCCCCTTTGGTTTTTAAGTTAAAGTTTTGGTCTTCGTTTTGAAGTTAACGAAAGTTCTGAAGACAGTGTAATACAGATAGCAGGTTCCAACGAATGGTGCGATTTACGAGAAAGGTGAAAAACACAACTAGTTTNAACTTTATCTCTAAGCTTCTCGCTGGTGTTTTACTCCGTCGATTGTCTTCCTCACGTAAATGGTGCACGCTTGAGAATCAGGCTGGTTTCAGACCTCTTCCTCGATCTTAAAAGCGGGTTTCGACCCAGTTGCCCGGTCTAAACTGTGGCGCTGCCATTCTCTGAAGGATTTGCCCGAGAAGTTAATTCCAATTTTGCGATCTCTTTATGCGAACGGCCGATGCCAAGTGCAAGCTTGCGGCACTTTTTCACCCGAGTTCACTGCAAAAAGTGGTTTTCGTCAGGGTTGCTCTCTCTCCATTTCTATTTAACTTTACGATGGATTTGATTCTTGAAACAGCCCTATCCTCGTACGAAGAAAGCGGCATCGATTTACTCCCAGGTGACAGACTGTCTGATCTGGACTATGCAGACGACATCATGCTGCTAAGTGAAGATCCAAGTAAGTTGCAAGCGTTTCTGGATAGTTGAAGTGCTAGTGTATCCATGTTCGGTATGCGTTTTGCGTTTTGGTCCAGCTCTCAACCTCACCCTGATTGGGGAAGAGGTGTAGCAGGTCGATAAACTTCCCTCGCAAAGGAATGCCGCAGAAGTACGTGAATATACTGAGTTCACTCTACTCGCATACCTCTGGTAGCGTAAGGGTCTACGGCGAGCTGACTAGACCGTTCGTAACTAGCAGCGGTTTTCGTCAAGGGTGCCCTATTTCGAAATTCCAACTCAATTGCGTCATAGACGAAATACTTGAGAACAGACTAAGTGGTCTCCAAAATGTAGGTATTGAATGGTCAGCTGAAGAATAGCTGTGTAATCTAGAGTACACTGACGACATCGTTTGCCTGTTTGAATCTATGGATGATGCACAAAGACACTTGATATATCAGCAAGTTCCGTAACTCCGTTCGGCATGTACGTTGCACCTCCAAAGTTCAAAGTAATGCTGGAAGACTGGGTGTTGCCGAGTTTCGTTATAAAACTAGACGGCCAAGAATTAGCTGAAGTTGACCACTTCTCGTAACTGCGTGACCAACGACGGTAGTGCATCGAAGGAGATAACCGCCCGCATTTCCAAGGCTACATCAGCGTACGCAGGACTTAAATACATTTGGTGGCGACGTGACGTTTCACTTAAGTTGAAAGTGGCGTATACTGCGCCACTGTACGATCAGTTTTGCTTTACGGTTGTGAGACCTTGACTTGTATCATCATCATCGTACAGTGAAATACAGTGAGGCAAACTTCACTGATCGCTGCCAAACTCGCAATGCGTACAACGTTAGTGGTAAAATTTAAGGTGGAGAGGGATGGGGCCTATTTTGAGGGAGGGGGAAGAAGGTGAGCCTCTATGGTCAACACGAAGTACGCAATCGAACTCTGCATACATACCGTTTCAAGCATTCTGACCTGGTGATTTTTGACAATCGATGCTTACGTTAGCTGGCCCAAGTGCGATAGAGTGAGCCGGTTAGTAACCTAGAAGTAAGTCATCGGGTGTTTGGGAATGCATCGAACAAGAAATCGCTATCGCATCGAATTCAGCTCAATAGGCTCCATTGGTTAGGACACGTTTTGCGCAAGTCTAACGGTCTCCTACCGCAGCGCGCCTTATTCGCAGTGGCTGCTGCAGGCTAGAGAAAGCTACGTGGAGGCTAGCAGATGACGTAGAGACGAGGCATGAAGAAATACACAGAGCGATTAGGTAGGGCAGGTGTCTCGTCTTCCGGGTCCAAACGACTCTGTAATCGCATGATTGGAGACACCGAAGGTCATGGCCGCGAACCAACAGCAATGGCGATCATGCTGTCACTTCTTATCAGACCAGAATGTTTAAAATAGTATACGAGAACAGTTTTATTGTGTACTGTGTGAGTTGAACATAAGGGTTCGCCTTCTTTTCGCGTCCCTAAAATTAGGCCCCATCCCTATCCTCCTGACACATTATAACTTACCTTGTGTACATTACCAGTTTATCAGTGATCAGTAAAGTTCGTTTCACTGCATTACGCTGTACAATGATGATGATGGTTGAAGTAGACAAACCTTGTTATTAGGGCAGCTATATCTCACCTGGTGGACGCGTCACAGATGAAATGTCAGCACGCATACAGAAGGCTCTGTTACTACTTACCAACATGATAATTTTTGTGTGGCCGTCGCGACCTCCGGCTGTCTGGGAAGGGTCGAGTGCAAGCTGCAGCAGTTGGGTCAGTCATGCTCTACGGTTCCGATACTTGGCCAGTATGGGAACATGATACAAATAGGTTGTCGGTGTTCAAACACCACTGTTGACGTCGCATTACATAGTCTGGAGGAGAAACCGGAAAAGCAATTCTGAGGTTAGACGTGGAGTTTTAAGTAATCGCGGTCGTTCGCTTCAGCAAGTAGTTGACCTATAGACTACGGTGATCAGGACATGTGTTGCGTATGTGACCAAATAGGTCGCTACTCAGCGCGATGTTTTCCAAGGCAGGTAGTAGATGGAAAAACCAAGGGTGATCAGACTAAGACTTGGCACGAGGATATGAAAATCCTAACCAGGATTCTCGGTCATATAGATCGCGTTATACTCCCTAGATGGAGATCTCGAGATCTTGGTAACTGGTGGTTGAAGACACTGAGTTATGGCTGGGTATCTTAAACTCTCGTTCGTGCATCTCAATTTCTTTGCAACCTTTTCCATTTTCTCTTCGACTTTACATCAATTTTCCCGTCTTTCTCCTACTGCTTCGTAGGCAACCAAAAAACAGTGACCAAAACCGACGCACGAAAGTGCATGGTCAATAGTTGCACAAACTGAAATAGAGCTCAATATCGACTAAGCTCATGATCCCGATTTATCATCACTCTCCTTTGAAAGCGTGTTCTGATCAGCTGATCACAACTGTTGAATTGTTTTTTCCAGTTGGTTGAACACATAGGTGTCATGCTTTAAGTAGTCAGTCCGAAATCTTCCAATCGTTTCCCGCTAATCGTATTTATCCTATTGTTGAGTTCTTCCACTACAATGAGATGTTTGGCTTGTTGCGAATGTCCAAACATTGTCACGACGTATGGTGTTAACAACCAGTGTTTTCCAAACATGCCGGTCCAACACTACACAACTAGTTACAGATAGAGGTTACAAAATGGAAGCTTAAGAAAGGTTCTACAGACGCCGCAGTGTTCGGACAGTTTCGTCCAACAAGGACCAAAAATCGGCTTTTTTATGGTCTACCCTAATTGTATGAGTAGCGTTCTCCCTCTTGCTAATCCTGGGCACGTACTTCTCTCTACTACGCTTCGGCCAAATAATTGGCACGTCTGTGGGACTATTGAGGATGACAATGACTCGACATAACGTTGAGAATAGATTCGGTATCATCGACACCTTATGCGGCTCGCTGGATGTCACATCAGTCTCAGTTTTTCAACCGTCGCTCTTCACAAATGTTCCAATCGGTGAGGCCTAATGATTTACACAGTCGTATTGAAAGCAACCTTATTTACATAGGCCTGTCACCGGATGGCTCGAAACAATTGTCATTTTTTCTACTCGTTATGTGCAATTCAAGTTTACTAATGAAAACCATTATCAAAGGGACTGTAGCAATAGAGTCCCCACCGGGACCTTTTTTGACGATGTTTTCGTGTATACAGTTGAAATAGTTCTCTTGAAACGCATATCAAATACTGCATATTGTACAAGCGCAAATAACGTTTTGTTCCTAGCCAGTTCCACAATGGACAGTAAACATCTGGATCACTTAGGAGTTTAAAATTCATGACTGAAACAGGAGCAAATAATAAGCCAACATATCTAGATGCATGTTTGCTGTGATGACTAGTTGATCAGACGATATGTACGCTAGGTAACGTTGAATGGAAATAATTACATGTATGCTATGTATGTACCATGGTGTTGTACTAGAACGTATATTAGGCCTTCAAAGTGAGCTTGTTTGCCATTTTTTGTTATCATTAAAAAGGTATATTCACCTCTGAAATTGCGTTTTAGTGCGATCTTATCAAATCTTATGCATTTTTGCGTTGTGTTCGACCTCTACTGTTGACAGTCAGTTATTAGATTGTAGATTCTGAACCAATCAATCAATTGCTTGTTATCAAACTTTGATGGTTCTCGGATTTTCCTTTAAACTTACTAGAGTTGGTCTAGATCACATCCCATTGACATTTTCCCCTTGCGGGATTCCACTGTCCTCCTAAATGTGTTTGATTCACTTCTTTTTTTCAATTTGCTCATTGTGTGTGTGTGTGTGTGTGTGTGTGTGTGTGTGTGGAGGGGGGGGGGTCGGATACAAGCACTCTGTCTATAAGGCGTTACATTTAGCTAGGTTTAATGGGCTTACTCTTTGGACATAGCATATTTCCATCCGAAAAAACTATCGTTTGCAGATTGTTTAAACAAAGAGACGCTCTTCGTGTTATTTATTGCCCCTTTTTTTACTTCTACCTCCACCGGAATTCATTTATTAAAAACTAATCCAACAGAGCCCATCCTGATGAGCCAAACCTGTTGCACGCGGTTTCTCGTCATTTTGACAGTTATGAAATTTCCAATTTTGTTCAACAGGGATTAGTGCACGGCATCTTATGAATCTGACATCTGGATGCTATAAAATTAGATCTGTTGAATTGGTTTGGGCTTTTATGCGTCTCCTCAATTTTGAGTTCCAATTCGAGACAAGCACAAACACAATCGGTTTAGTATGTACCTACAAAGCTTTTTCTCGATGCAATCATTTGAGCCTATTCTACGTTTTCGTTTATGTTTTCACTGGACTAGCCATATGTTCTTTTTTTAACGCTTCATGTTTCACGGGAATAATTCAAAGCTTCGTCATTTGTATGCGTGTCTTGTCTGTAGAAGAAATGATCAGCTAGCAAAAACCACTCCTGCGGCTGACAGATACGGTGTTGCATTCAGTGTACTTTCGGGTATGTTTTTCTATTCATAATTTTCATGGATCAACAGATTTCTATTTCGTTGATATACATCAATTACTAAAGCCTACCAACGAGGGGCCAGGTGTCTCCGTATATGGACAATGTTGCGTGAGTTCACACATTTTATTCTCATATTCTTCTTGTTCATAGCTGTTACTCCTGGTTCTAGCGATGGGCTTGCGCTTGAAATGCAGAATATTTATGGCCGCCGCCTTCAGTTTGCCATCTTGCATGCATTACTGCGTGGTTGAGCTCACTCAGCCTCTTATTGATGATTCTGTGCTCAGTCTGTCTTCGTTCGGAGGGTTGAATATGGATTCTGAAAATCAACCTCTAACACCTATTCGTCAGTTTCGCCCAACGAAGGGTAGGCATTCGAAACTTTTCCTGCTCATTTTCTTCAGCTCCAGTCACCTGTCCTCCCGGTCGCCGTCAACCAATGGTATTCTCCAATCGCTTCGGTCAATCTGATGCCTCTTCGGAGGAAAGTGGTACACTCGGAACTGACTGTTTGACACCAACACTGTGTTCTCCGCGTCGACTGAGGGGTCCGTGGAACGCTGCGGAAAGGCGGCTAAACGCAACTCAACCTGCTATGATCGATATCGTGGATATGTCTGNTCGTTAAACACAATTTTGGATTCACCAAATCTCATCCCAAAAGTAAGATAAATTGCTATATTTTAATGACTAACACACTAAACAAAAAGGGAAGGAAAATTTGAGTCCTAATGGTTCAGATCTTGCCCCAAGCGTGTGTTCTTGTTAAATTGATCACATTGTCAAAAGTTCAAGTTCATGTGTGTCATGACGACTGTTTCTCCTTGTAACCATATCTAAATTAGGTCGAATATTACGAGTTAGCTGCAGTGTACATTGTATTTTCATTACATGCACCTAGACTCCATTGGTGCCCTCTTGTTGTGTGGCATTGGAATCCGTTTTTATCCCCGTAATTGTCACGTAATAAATGCCTTTGCGACTGCAAGGTTCATGTGAAGAATGCAGCTACTCCCTGGATTTCAGTAGTGCAACCGATTATCACGTTATTACACAGCGTTCTCCATATATTAGTGGTCATCTGTGCTTCTAGATAATAACATTTGCGTTTACGTGTTACATTGCTTTTCACTAGTTTCGGGATTACTCTATAAATTTGTGTTTCTTTGGTATTTAATCTACGGCTACAAAAGCTGATCCCTTCACACAGAAGACGTCCACAGTTGCCTTCGTTACATCGCCAGAATACGTTAACAACGGCGAATCATCAATGATGAAGTTCACCGATGAATCTTCGCCTCAGACAATCTTAGTCGCCCCCTTAGTGTCGCCAGTTTTGTCCAAAGACTTCTATGATTGATATGTGTTGCGGATGTCAGTTCAACGACTGCCCCATCATGTTGTTTGGGCGAACCGATAATAACTATAAGCGGCGACGAGGTGGACAACCTGGGCACGAATGATGATGGCGGTAACGTCAAAACTGGCAGCTGTAGGACTTTCTAGATTCCCAGGTTGAGGTCCCAAGGACAGCGACCATCTATGGCTTGAGACGATAACCGACAGGACCCGAGACCGGCGTCTACGGTGCACCTGTTGCGAGACTCTTATTCGTTGATTTGTATTTGATCCTTTTTCACATTTGCCACGTTTGTCAGTTGTTGCTCGGTTGGGATAATTGGTTGTTCAGTTTTTCGCGGAGCTGCAATCAGAATATCACGTCCAATAATGATTAAACGATTGTATTCTAATTGCCAACTGAGTGCTATTTATATATTAGTTGTTACTGTTTCGAGTGGAAGGGATCGTGAAAATAACTTCAATGCATCACACTATGCTGCGTGATATAAATATCTGGCACGAAAATTCAATTATCCTACTTCATATTTGATGGTTTCTCACACGATGCCCATTGGGGTCGTATGAATGATTCACCATATTGTTATCTGTTCTCTACATGTATAACCTTGGGGTTCATATTACCACGCGGCACTTATTCAGTCACAGCATTACAATCTCATTTTAGGCTCAATATCTGGTTAAGCTAGAGGAAGCCCGTAAATTAGCTACCGAATTAGCTGAAGTGCGACATCTGTACGAAGTGACTAGTGCCGATCTGGATCAGCTGAACGCTGCGTATCAGAGTTCGGAGATGCAGAGAAAAGAAGCCGAAGTTCGGTCGCGCAGGCTGGAATCAGAGTTGAATGATCTGCGAGATGAAGTGGCACATGAGCGTGAATCACGCGCTCACTGGGAACGTGCCGCACAGAATGCCGATCGGTGAGTACTGCTGTGAGATTCCAAAACTGTTTGGTCGCCTATATTATTTTCCGTGCATGATCGTATTCATAACAACAACAAACATTGACAACAGCGCATATAGGATATTGAGCATCATTATAAGGTACTCCGTTTTTTTTCAAAACGCCATTCGCTTTCATTTTCCCTTTTTCGGAACGACAACTTTTTTTATACCTATTCGTCAATATAGGTAACAATTTTTAGCGTGTAATAACAAGAAGTAGCCCAGCAGGTCCCAGTTTCTCTGAGGAATGGCTAGACCTCGTTCTGTAAATACTTCTATGGGATGCACCTCTTAAAGCATCTACTCGCTAAGTCGTACTCATATCCTCTTGGTGATGTTTTCACTAAAATGCGAGAATCAAACTCCGATATCTGGGGTTTTATCCAGATTTTTGAGCCACAAATAGTTTGCTAATCTAGAGGAGTTAGACAACCGCTATTTCAAATTTTCTATAAAGAATTGAGACATCTTAGTCGTGATAATCACCGACTCTATACACTGAAAGTGTGAATCACTGGGAAGGGTGTGTGATCCGACTAAGTGAATATGATCCTCCATGGAATACTTTTTTTAATACTAACCCACTCTCTTGTCTGTCACAATCTGGCTGACCAAAAGCTTCGATTGTGAATCCCCCAAAGTTACCTGTTTTGCTTCGGCAACCTGTATTGCATCCTCGAGTTAATTAATGAACCGATCATTTTGTCATTGAGATTCTCAGGCGGTTTCCACTGCATGAACTGAAACATGTAAAATTATATGTATCGTGCTATTTAATAATCTGGAGGTTTAAATGCAGAACATTGGCAAAATCTTTCCCGGGGTTTCCTCGTTTGCACCCCGCTCTTTTGCAATTAAGGCTTTATAATAGAGTTTTGGTTACGATTCCTACCTAAGTGTGTTTTGTTGTGAAACACGTTTCCTACCATCCATTCAGGATCCTTTGACGTCATCTTTGTGTATTCGTTCTCAGATTTGATCGAAGTGTTTTGCTATCGTTATTTATGAACCCTTTTGTTTGTTTGATTTTTCTTCATCAACCCAATCCCACGAAGCCCTTAATCGTTCCTTGGGCTGTACTTGTCGCGCCCAGTTTGGTTTCTGGTATTACGGTAATGACATGGTATTTGACCATTTTTTTCATCATACAGTTATCTTAATTGAGACGGACTTATTAACCCACTCGTATCGCTTACGGGTATTCGCATTCACCCTCGTTTCAGATTACATGAACGGCTCAATCGTGCACGCGAGGAGCTGAAATCTCTATCATTTGTGCAGGCCGAAAACCGAGAACTGCATCGTGAGCTGTCAGAATTACGTCCGAAGGTAATTGTAGTTTTTCCTCGGCATTTGTCCATGATTGGTTATAAAATGATCCAGCACCATTGTATGGTGAATCGATGCAAACCTCGTGACGCGATGATTTTTGACTATCATCAGCGCATGCCGAGCGTTATTTCGCTGTGTTGCATTTTCAGTTTACTTTTGGCTGTTGATCTAACATTGAAAATGTGTCGAATCCATTGGATAGTGCATAATGCTGCGGCACTACCAGGGTGTGGTAGGTTTCACGCTGGTCACCTGGCTCCTGTTTAAAAGCCGCATAAGCCCAATGACGGTGTCGTAGCAAAAGTCGATGTGACTGGCCTTTTAAAACTAAAGTCATTGATCCCCTCACTTCCGGGGGAGAGCTTAGTTCCTGCTGTCTTGCAGTTCGCACTTGGTTGTGCAAAAGCTAGAGGTGCACCTTCAATATAAAAAAGACGCCAAGTAACGCTGGGGATGTCTCTCATACCAAACTCCCAAGGAACTCCATGATCATGTCTGGAACCGGCTTATCCTTTCCAAGGAGCCAGACGCAGAAAGGGGAAAGAAGTTCCAAATTGGTTGATATATTTCCCAGCAGCTTATTCATCTCAATCTAGTTTATACAATGCTACCATGGCTCTTTCATGCACTGGTTTTGATTGCTGTCTTTCGGTTTCTAGTTTGATCGATTAAAAGATTGGTATTGAACGGATAAGCTGATAAACTCAGAGGAACTTCGATAGTAACATACCGAAATTGATTAAACTAAATCTGCGTGGAATGTGAGTAGATGTATAAGCACCGTTGACATCTCAGAAGTCTCATCGGGTATTCACCGCCGTACCAACGGAACAGGCAAATTTTCGCGTCATCCTCACGTATCAACCGTTCACACGTCTTCATAGCGTTTATGCTAGAGATCGCATTGTACAGAACTCGATGGTACACAAAGTTGGCCCTCGTGTGGGCGTGGTGGTCCAATGACGAGAGGTCATTGGAGGAATCGGACTGACCGAGTATGCCATGCCACTCCGACAAAGCCTTGGTCATTTTGTCTTGTATCTGGAGTAGATGTTCGACGTTCGGGCTGAGGGCGACCATAGTGCGCTACATTCACACTAGTCCCCTGTTCCCAGATGTTGTAACTTAACGGAACGAATGGTACCCACGACCCAAGTAGTTGAGCACACGGACGAGTATCCTTCGATAAAGTGCTACCAATGCAGCCTAGTCGAACAAAACTCCGGCAAAGTACGATCCCGAACGAAAACAAGAAGACAGACCATCAGGTTAGGTTACGTATTTGACTCGACCCAAGGAACCAACTTGTCTATTTAAATGCATTTTTCCAGTCAACCATCAGTGGTCTTCTTGGTTAAAAGTCCAAAATCTCTCAAGAATAGGCCAATCAGAGACGAGGCGACTGGTGGTACACTAGGGACTTCTTGTGGCGCGGGAAGATGGAAGTTATAGTTTTATTAAAATACATACAAAAATATGAGAAATATTGCCTTTTTGTAGGAAAAATGAGATTTTCCTATCACCAGAATGTCCGCGCTTTCCAAAACCAAAAAGCCTAATGACCGACCCCGTCTGCCGAAGTTTCACTTACCCTCTGTCGTTTTTTATTTCGACTACTCTTGCCCTTCCAACCACTGGTTTCTCTAAACGTTGCACATAGAGGAACCCAATCCGGTGACACGCGGAACCATTCGTTTATTTTTCGTCGTATCAATCTTGTTAGTGGGATTAGACTCATAAAGTCTGTTTGTTTCTCACGTTAAAGGTAAAACGATTTGAAGAACTGTGGCCTCTATTGAACCGTTTACAACTGGTCGAGCGACAGGCAAGTAGATGGAAAGAAAGTTTGTCTATCGCGGAAGAAAAAGTATGTCAGTTATTCACATTTCATTTGCCATTAAATTTGTGACCGAACTTTTTATATGCACACCGTTTTTGTTGGCATGGAATCGAATCGGGAGTATAAATGTTTGCGCACGTGATTTGTTGCGGTTGCACATTTCTATTCTTCACGTCTCAGTTTTCGGTTTGTGCTACCAATAACCTACATGTACCGGTTTCGATTGCTGTCTTTTGTTTGCCCATTTGGATGAAGGGATAGAAGATATGTTTGAAAGTTGAAAGCCGTGTCGAAGAGAAAATTGGGATTCCGGTATATTTGGGCTGCAAAAAATAGATGCACGAGCGCGACTGTTTACGAAACTAAGCCTTATCCCTGAGTGTCTCTAACCATTGGTTCCAATGATCACGAGGTCCTCATCCAGGGAGCCTAATGCAACCGAAATGACTGAGTTTCCCGGTTCGTTTTATTAGGATCTGTCTCACTCTTACACTTACTACTGGTCCAGATGCTGGAGAATCACCAGGCTTTTTTGACCGAGATCAGAGTAAATTTTCTGTACTATTCACTTGGTCTAGCAATACTACCGGGGTACCATCACGACGAGACGGCACCTTGGCGTGGTGTGATAGCTTGCGCGCCTCATTAGCCCTGTGAGCTACACAGGATGGCTTTTTACATTCGTAGATCCCATTATGCCTGAAAGGTCAAGGGGTAGNNGGCCAGACGATCAGTCTCACAAGGCCAGCTGCTTGGGCACCTCCTGACTTCCTTTTCTATCCATACCCGCCCCTGGAGAGGTCAATCCATTAAACAAACACGGTGAGACCAGTTTACCGGTCAAAAAGCCCGCTATACGGACGTAGGAGCGGGGTACCTGGGGCTTCCTCTCGACGGTGGGAGAAGTCTTCGCACTTCATTAGACAGCTACCGCCCGCCAANCCCGCCAAAGCTGGGCAACCCCCAGCCAATGAGGTGCTGTCCCGTCCACGTCCCGCTTGTCTCATTGGGTGCATGAGGCTAAGGGCCGATCCCGAAAAGCGGACTGATAATCAACGCACCGGCGAACAACACAATTAATCGAAATTCGAAGGCCTTGCGTGACACGTCACTAGAAGCTCCTACACGGGTACCTCGTTCACGCTCCCACGTTGGATTTACGCCTTGTCGGTCAGACTTTGGAGTCAAAGGCTTTGGTCAGGGTTCCCAAAGAAAAACCTCTTCGTTGGTTTGGGCTACCGCGAAATATGCCGTTCCCCGAAGTCTTAGCTACCCATTTGGAAAACTATCTTTCTTAACAGTCCTCTTCTTTTCGCCCAAACCTTAGAAAATCCATCCTGTTTGCGCCACCCATGGGACATCACTCAGTATTCAACTAATGAGGCCAACCGCTCAGAAACTATCCGATTTTTAAAACTAAATCTCGTTTTCACTTATTCGCATTTAATGTCCGCACACTCTACCAGATCGGTCAACAAGCTGCCTTAGCTAGAACTCTTGAAAACTTCCATTTAGATGTATGCTGTGTCTCCGAAACACACATACAAGAACCTACTTCAATCATCTCTTTGCGTTCTTCAGATCCAACCTCATCCTCATGCTTTGCTCTCCGTGTATCAGGCGATTCGCATCCGAAGATGGCGGTGTTGCTGGTGTTAGGATTGCGCTGAGTGTGAATGCCGAGCGTTCACTTCTCGACGGAATCCCGGTTAACAGCCGATTTTGCGCTGTACGTCTGGATGGTTCGGTACGGATCAACAGAAGGAAGCGTCGATGCTTATTTGTCGTATCGGCGTATGCACCGACAGATTGCAGTTCACCAGAAATGTAGGATTAATTCTACAAGGACTTCTCCCAACTGCTCAAAGTTGTTCGATCAACGGACATTGTGGTAGTCGCTGGAGACTTCAATGCTCAAGTGGGATCCCTGGACGAATAAGAGAGGCTACTTAGTAGTTCCTATGCAATCCTAGCCAACAGAGCTGACAACGGAGAACGCCTACTCCAAATTTGTACTGACCACGGACTGTTCCTGTCAAGCACCAACTTCTCGCACAGAAAACGGCACCGCCTTACATGGAAACCGCCAACTTCTTCACAGCTCTGGACTCAAAGCGACCACATCACCATCAGCCACCGCTGGCGAGGACCCATTGAAGACTGCCGCTCCTACTGGTCAACACCCGTTGACACGGGCCATGCTCTGCTACAAGCGAGATTCTCCCTACGCCTAGTAAACAACCGCGGAAATCCACCGAAAACGGATGCCCAAGATACGCTGTCAGCAACGGTTGCAAATCGGCCTTCCAAGCGGAAATATCAGATTGCCTCTCAGCTCAACGGTCAGCCGGAGGACTCAGTAAACGCTGGACGGTAATCAAGGAAGCGATCTAAATGTTAATCAAAACAAC